TATACAGACACGCACATCCACGCTGCTGTTTCACGTATAGCCTTGTTCCGCTTTTGAGAGCTGCGATGTTCTGAATCTTGTTGCCTTGTAAACAGTCTAACAGCTGAGTGTTCTCTCACAGGCTGCCACCCTGCACCCATTCACAGCAGCCATGTAGAGGGGCTGTATGGGTGACACACTGTGACTTCAGTGTGTTGTAGTTCACCACTTGGATCTCTAAACAATTGCCCCCACCCGCTGCTGACACTCAGGTGGGCTCTGGCAGACAGTTTTGGCAGCTGAAGTTGTTGCAGTTCTGCGCTAAATATGTATGGCTTTGTTTTGGGATCAGAGCAAAACTTCAGGCCGCAGCTTTTGCCAGCCCACTCCTCTGCTCATGTGCCTTTCTCCTTTGCCCTTGACAGCTGGGGCTTGTAGCAACTAGTGGAATTTTGTAGGAGCTCATGACAAAATGGTACAATTGGGTAACAGACTAAAATATCCAATTGAACAGGAAATCTACATCTGTCTCCTTTTAATTTTCTCTTTCTTAGCTTTACTTTACCTTCCATATTCAGTTGGAAAAGTACACAAACAAGGTATCATATTTAATTATATATATGGTATTATAGTTGACAAAATGTGTTCTCACCATATTTTTAAATGACAGACATAAAAATCCGAGATCTAAGAAGGAGACATGATTGTCCAGAGTCACGCATCTAGTCAAGAGTAGAAACCGTTTTCTAAAGACTCTTTCCAGTGAAAGGCTCACAGCCCCATGAACAAGACATATGGAGATGTTGACAGTTGGGTTTCAGACCACTGCAATAAAGTCAGAATTACAAAAAAGAGGATCCCACAAATTTTGTGATTTCCTAGTGTGTGTAGAAGTTATGTTTATGCAATACTGTAGTCTATTAAGTGTGCGGTAGCATCGTGTCTCAAAAACAATGTACATCCATCAGTTGAAAAGACTTTACTGGTTAAGAATGCAAATGTTCATCTGAGGCCTCAGTGAATAACAATCTTTTTGTTAGTGGAGGGTCTTGCCTTGATTGATGGCTGCTGACTGATCAGGGCAATCATGGTTTCCGAAGCTGTGGGTGGCTGTGGCAATTTCTGAAAATAAAACAATAATGAAGTTTGCTGCATCAATTAACTCTTCCTTTCACAAAATGTTTTTCTGTAGCATTCAATGTTGTTTGACAGCATTTTTTAAAAAGTTTTTATACATTTAAAGGCTATTCTTTCAAGATTGGAGGCCGGGCACGGTGGCTCACACCTGTAATCCTAGCACTCTGGGAGGCCGAGGTGGGCGGATCGTTGTGAGCTCAGGAGTTCGAGACCTGCCTGAGCAAGAGCGAGACCCCGTCTCTACCAAAAATAGAAAGAAATTAATTGGACAGCTAAAAATATATGTAGAAAAAATTAGCCGGGCATGGTGGCACATGACTGTAGTCCCAGCTACTCGGGAGGCTGAGACAATAGGATTGCTTGAGCCCAGGAGTTTGAGGTTGCTGTGAGCTAGGCTGACGCCACAGCACTTGCCCCAGGCAAGAGAGTGAGACTAGATTCTGTCTCAAAAAAAAAAAAAAAAAAACGACTGGAGTCAATCCTCTCAAACCCTGCTATTGCTTTATCAATTAAATTTATGTAATATTCTAAATATTTTGTTGTCATTTCAACAATGTTCACATCATCTTCACCAGGAGTTCATTCCATTTTAAGGAACTACCTTTTCTGTCCATCCATAAGAGGCAATTCCTCATTCATACAAGATTGATCATGAGATTGTAGCAATTCAGTCATGTTGTCAGGCTCCACTTCTAATTCTAGTTCTCTTGCTGTTTCCACCACATCTGCAGTTACTTTCTCCACTTAAGTCTTGAACCCCTCAAAATCATCCATGAGGATTAGAATCAACTTCTGCCAAACTCCTGTTATTGTTGACATTTGACCTCTTACCAATCGTGAATGTTCTTAATGGTATCTAGAATGGTGAATCCTTTCCAGAAGGTTTTCAATTTACTTTTCCAAGATCCATCAGAAGAATCACTATGGCAGCTATAGCAATACAGAATGTATTTCTTAAATAACAAGACTCGAAAGTTGAAATCACTTCTTGATCCATGGGCTGCAGAACAGATATTGTTTCAGCAGACATGAGAACACTATTAATCTCTTTGTTCAACTCCATCAGAGTGTACAGGTGTCTAGGTGCGTTGTCAATGAGCAGTATTATTTTGAAAGGAATCCTTTTTTCTAAGTAGTAGGTCACAACAGTGGCCTTAAAATATTCTGTAAACTACGTTATAAACAGATATGCTGTCCTCCAGGCTTTGTTGTTCCGTTTATAGAGCACAGGCAGAAAGATTTAGCATAATTCTTAAAGAATTTTTGGAATGATAAATGAACATTGGCTTCAACTTAAAGTCACCAACTTTATTAGTCTCTAACAAGAGAGCCAGCCTGTCCTTTAAAACTTTGAAGCCAGGTATTGACTTCTCCTCTCTAGCTATGAAAGTCTTAGCCAGTATCTCCTTTCAATGTCAGGCTGTTTTGTTGAAGTTGAAAATCTGTTGTTCAGTGTAGCCATCTCCATCAATAATCATAGCCGTATCTTCTGGAGAACTTGCACTTGGTCCTTCGCCTTGCACTTGTATGTCATGGAGATGGCTTCTTTCCTTAAACCTCATGAACCAACCTCTGCTACCTTCAAGGTTTTCTTCTGCAGCTTCCCCACCTCTCTCATTCTTTATGGAATTGAAGAGAGTTGGAGGGTTGCTCTGAATTAGGCTTTGGCTTAAGGGAATGTTGTGGCTGGTTTGATCTTCTACCTGGATCAGTAAAGCTTCTCCATATCAGCAACAAGGCTGTTTTGCTTTCTTATCATTTGTGTGTTCACTGGAGTAGCACTTCTAATTTCCTTCAGTAACTTTTCCTTTGCATTCACAACTTGGCTAACTGTTTGGTGCAAGAGGCTCAGCTTTGGCCTGTCTTAGCTTTCCACATGCCTTCCTCATTGAGCTTTTCATTTAAAGTGATAGACATGTGACTATTCCTGTCATGTGAACAATAAGAGGCCATTGTAGGGTTATTAATTGGCCTGATTTCAGTATTGTTGTGTCTTAGGGGACAGGGAGACCTGAGGTGACAGAGAGAGATAAGGGAATAGCTGGTCAGTGGAGCAGTCAGAACACACCCATTTATTAAGCTTGCCATCTTATATAGGCGCAGTTTGTGGTGTTCCAAAACAATTACAATAATAACATCAAAGATCACTGATCACAGATTATATAAAAGATATAATGATAATGAACAAATTTGAAATATTGTGAGAATGACCACAATTTAACACAGAGACATGAAGTGAGCACATGGTATTGGAAAAATGGC